AAACACAATTTTAAAAAGTGCCTGAAGCGTAGAAAAATCCATGTATAAATAAATACCAAAAGTAACGAAAACGATATTATCAAATTAGTGATTAAACCACACACAAATATTTTAAAAAATTCTTTATCCTCACAAACCAAATCGTTGAAGGTTTCCGAGAAATCCATGATACGGAACAGGTGTCGCAACTCTAGGGTAAGTTATGTTGTATTACTTTACCGCTACTCTACTGAAAATGACTCATTTCTGTTAAACTGCAATACACCGACCTTAAAGAGATACATGGGACAAAACCGCCCCAAAAACACCACTAGCCTGAAAACAGTTGGGTGATTGTAATCTATTAATATAAATCAATATAACACATCTCATTTTAGCTATCTTATCTATCTATCTTATCCTCCAAAACGAAACAAAAAATTCTCTTGTATTTCGGTCTCCCTTTGAAATGCCACCAAGCACCTCTTTTTTTTTCGCCCCTCATTTGGTAACAATAAAAAAGAAATGCATCCAGTCCATGACATTCTAATGAACGCGTCTTATTCAGAGATTAAAGGCCATATTTTTGTAACAATTTAGCATCGTTTTGTGAATTCACTTAGCTCAACGCTTAGAGTCAATGTACGCTCCCCAGTTGTAGGACCGTCAATAAAAACTAGTGAATGGATCGATATAGTAACTCAATATTAAAACGAGCGCGATTGCATGGCTTCCCACCAAGTGCAGTCGAATTATTTTACTAAACGCAGAAACAGGTTGGGACATGATTACAGTTGCCGTATGGATATGAGGTGAAGGTGTGTGGCAACCTTTCACCGGTGATTTTAAATATGCAGTCTTGAGGGTACTGCTCCAAGGCAACCTCTCTCTCCCATCTACGGTGTGAATTAGTCGCGCCGTAGAATAACCATACAAACCCTAGTAGAGGGCGTCGGTCTTAAACAACTACGCGGTCCCCCGGGGTGGTAAGGGGGGGGGACTTTAGAGACGTTAAATATCCACCCCAACCCCTTAGAAAGCCCAGCCCTGTTGCTGCGTGAGCAGCAATCCGGCTGGCCAGGTGTTTCTTCTCTGGGGCTGCCACACTCAGCGGCCAATCGAGTGGAGGTCGGGTGTGGCGGTCTTAGGGGCGTAGCGTCCCTGGCGTGCCGCTTCGCGGCCCGATCGGAATAAAGACCACTGGGGGAGTGGTTGACGGCCGATTTGGTTGGCGGGGTGGTGCCTGGGGAGGACCATATGAGCCTACAAGGGCTCGGTGTTTGCTGATTTTCTTAAGTTAGTTAGTTAGTAACTCAATGTTTTCATCCAACAGGTATCTGAGCCCAAGCCAGTCAAGGGAAGTCAACGTTACCGTTTTCTTACGCCCGACGGTGTACAGGTAAGAAGCAGCTTGCGGCGCATCGAAACGAGCTCTGACATCAGCAGACAAGGTGTGGGTCCAATCGGAGGGTGTGATAGTTTAAAAGTAAACGCCATTGCAAAAAACGGGGGGGGGGGGAGAGGGAGAAAATTGCATTTGATAAGCACCCCAGAAATTTCCGAGGATATTTAATTATTTTTTTGAAAGAGAAAGGGTAAAATGCTATACAAGGTGTGGGTCCAATCGGAGGGTGTGATAGTTTAAAAGTAAACGCCATTGCAAAAAACGGGGGGGGGGGAGATGGAGAAAATTGCATTTGATAAGCACCCCAGAAATTTCCGAGGATATTTAATTATTTTTTTGAAAGAGCAAGGGTAAAATGCTAAATTAGGTTTTGAAAAGTTTGGGGAAGCGAAACGCTTCGTATTATCTCAAACAACTTTATGTATATTTAGATCACGATCTGTGTACAAGATATTGTATGTAAATGTTCTGGACAGCAGGTATATTTCCTAACGTAAAGAATGAAAATTTAGGCTCTCTTAGTCCATATATCCAAGAAATTTAATTAAGAACGTAAAGAGCTGTTCTTGTTAACACAACTGACACAGCAATCCGTCTTTGTCTTGTTTCGTGATCCTTAAGTGAACAATTATACCTGCTATATATTTTTTCTTAGCAGGGAAACTCGGAACATCGAACGGAATCTTCTAAAGGAGGGCTTCGCTTAAGTTTATCCCCAGGAGGACAAAACCCGCAATCTCTTTACGCAACACCAAAGTCGGATTCACCAACAAAGTGTGCCTCGGGCCATCTCATAAGCCCCGTAACCTCAGATCAGAAAAGTGCGAACGTGGGCAGCGAGCAGCGAATGGGGACCAGCACTGCGGAAACGTGGAACATTCATTTGTACGGCAGCGAAGTTAACGACAACACCGGGACGCATGTTGCCAAGCTGAGAGATGTTAGAAATAATACACATTTGAATGAAACAGAAAGCACTAAAGATGAACTGGTCAAACGCCGAAAATCTTCAACGGTGGCGGAGCATTCAGAAAACTCTAAACTTTTCGACGACGGCCGTGAGCTTGATCCGTCGAGGCGGATCCTGTTGGCGCCATCGTCTGGACATCTGCACGCCTCGTCACAAGAGGCAGTGGATCGAAATGACGTCATTAACAAGCAGACGGAGATGAGTTCTTCTGAGAATATCCACGGTCGAGAGAACTCCGTCTCACTGGTGATCGATCCCCAGACTGCACACAACAACAACGGCGAGATGTCTTCCTCGGGTTCTCAACAGGGAAACGAAGCACATTTTGAAAAAAAACGTTTGTTCGTTAACACGAGCAAAGAGGACATTCTTAAACCCGGATCCATGTCGCGGCTGATTTCTCCAAAGAGCGGTTCTTTGGTGACTTTAGAAAGGCAAGGTTCGGACTTTAAGTCTTCACTACACGTCCTAGAGACTGCATCCAGCCGGCCGGCGGTAAAATCTTTCGGTGATCACGTTTCCCTTAATGAAATGAAAGAATATCCAGGGGAATTCGATCCGTTGTTTAACCCTGGCGGAACTGTTCCCCCGCAAGAGTCCGGTTTTGATAGTTTATTGAGTCTTGGGAAGGACAGTCAAACACGCAATGCTGATGGACGGTATGAAAACGGACCATCAAAAAACAATGCGCGGTTGTCATTGGACACACGGTCATCCAGAGAGGATTTTTTGGAAGGATCATCTGTTTCACTGATACAGGGTAATGTCTTCTATCTGACGGACGACTCGCATCAGAAGGATGGCTCTCGATACCGCATGTCTTCAGGATTTCCCAAAGGCTTGGAAGACACCTTAGAACATCGCGCCAATTTATCTGGACAACAAAGAGATCCAAAATTTACGATAGAGGCATACGAGATCAATCCTCAAACTGCGAGAAGCGAGGGTGGGAAGATGACCATTTCCAGTCGCTCGAGCAAATTGCTTCGAAGCGATAGAGAGCCTAAGGTTGAGCATACCATGGAGAGCAGGGCTTTGTTAAGAATGAAAGGATCTAATGAAGGATCATCGCTTAGCAAAGCGGACGCGCACAAAGAGAAAGCGGTATTGCCCTTGGCACAACCGAGCGACAGTGTGAGACCATCTGCTGGTGAAGGGCAAGGGAGAATACAAAAAGAACAAACCCGCGTAAGGATAACACCCAAAGGTTCTCATTTAGGAGAATTAACCAGAGAAACTTTACAACTGGTGGATATTTCTCGTCAAAGTTCACAATCTTTAGAAATGCCTCAGCAAAGATCCCAATTGGTTTTAAGAAATAGTTTCATACCAGACCTTGGCGATGATCACACTACTAAAATGCCAAACGGAACGCAAAGGGGGAGCAGCACTGAGCGACTACATTCAAATTTAGATAGGGGTGGTCAGTTGTCACGACGCCATCGGTCCTCATCAGAGCTTTCTCGGATAAATCAGGACATGGGTTACTTAGAACGAGGAAGAGATGAGAATTATACACAGGAAGTCCTTGAACTCGAGACTAGTGCGAAGCCCCCGGTACATAAAAGCGAGAAGGCGAGTACTGTTCAGAGGGCTAAAAGTGAAATAAATGACTATGTTAATTCAGAGGATAGGAAAGATGTAAAGGACGTAGAGGAAGGAAACAGCAGCCATATGCAAGGTAGCCGTGAAAAACTGAAGGCAAGAGGGTTGCAGAGAAAAGAGGATCGACTAGATACTTCTGTGTCTGTCGGCGCCTCGTATAAAACTTCCAGACGGTTAAGCCTCTCTGAGAAAAACATCCATAGGTATAGAGACGGAGAACGCTATTCTCAGCACAGCAAGAAATATAAAACTTCAGCAGATGAATTATTGTTAGCGTCGGAAACGGGAAAATCCCTAAAAGAAAAATCGGGTTCTTCCCGCAGAGAGAGGAATTATTTAGAGCCTCGTCCAAGACGGAAGAGTAGGGAACAGAACCCATTGGAGCTGGCGTGGAGCCGGAGGTTGCCTAAATCTAATACGGAGATTGACGATTGTGCTCTGGTGGAGTATGGGGCATGGCCAAGGGATCATAAAAATGGCACACGCTCTGACAATAAGAAGTCAAAGGTACGCTTAAGAGATTACGGCGGGGTCGCCAGGGAAGTTAGCTATGCACGGGCGTTACGTGCAACTAATTCTGATCTAAGCGATATGGGGAGAAGATCAGTTCGATTCAATGGCGAGGCAGAGAGAAGGCGGGATATGAGAAGGCATTCAACCGAATCGTGTCATTTTTCACAGATGAGGACGGCTCCGATCATAAAAAGTTCCGTAAAGGACGATACGATTGAGAGAAGGCGACGGTCAGGGGGAATGACGCATGGAGGAAGACATTCTTCGCGTGACAAGGAGCGCAGAAGACATTCTAGAAGAAGTCTGCCAAGTGATGCAGAGATAGACCCCAGGTTTGAATATGCTTTCGAAAGCGAGGACAAATTAAGATCTACAGATATGTACGAAATGGAGCTGGGGAGACGTTCTAGAAGTCATTCAAGCGATTCCGTGATAGCCCCAAAGGCTGAGTACACCGTCGACGACAAAGGGAGGTTTCTGAGGAATTTTCACCACGAAACGGAACCAACGAGAAATTCTACAAGTCACCCTAACGACGCGCAGAGAGACGCAAGGCCTGAATACGTTTTCGGTAACGAGGATGACAAACAGAGAAATGCAAGGCTGTCATACAGAAGTTCTGAAAGCCGGGATTCAAGGGCAACACAGTTCCTTAGTTCCTCAAGCGCTTTCCCGATACATTACGGAAGATCTTCCAGTGCTGATCCGCGAAGCTCATCCGCCCAAAATCACAAAGAAAACAACCATTCACAGGGGAACATTCACGACATCCTTAATGTAGCAGTGGAAAAGCTTCACTCAAAACTTGAAGAAAATATTTTAGAAGACTACACACACATGACTACACAAGAGACTGGGAAAGACAAGCTTGAGGAAGAAAGAGACTCCAGCTATCAGACGTACTTTGAGACAGCTGGTACGCAATTTCAGACAGCTGACATGGGATCAGATTGGTTACCGAGAAGAAGCTCCAACAAATCCACAAAGTCCACGGATATGGAGAAGGGGAAGTCACACGGGTTAAAGGTAGACGAGACGCAGAGAAAGAAGCACATATACTACAGAGAGAGCAATACGGCGTCACCAGGACTGCCTATGGAAAACGAGGCCGACGGCCCCAACATACAGAATGACTCCCAAGTGATTGTTCCAATGTACGCGAAAGAAGAACCACCAGCCCCTGATACAGCTAGACTGGCCGAGACGGCTGAGGCGGTCAAGTTTGAGACGCCGTACAGTGAGCGCGAACAAGATCAACAACATTATATCGACGCAAACGTTTACGAGCCTCGATACGAAGAGCAAACTTACTCGGTACCCCTGTCTAATGCGTCTTCTTTCAAAGAGCTAAAGAGCGCGGAGTTGTTGTATAATGAGCCCCGCCCCAAAGAGCCGACACACAATGAAACTCCGAGTAAAGCGCTGAACCGCCAAGAGCCCACGCTCAAAGAGCAATATACTGAATGCCCCTGCATGGAACTTCAGTACAATCAATCTCAGTACAAGGAACCGCGTTTTGAGAGCCTTCAGCTCAATAAAACCCCGTACACGAAACCTATCGGCAACGCAACCTTTTTCAACGTGGCCTCGTACATGAAACCAGCGTACAAGGATTCTCGATTTAGTAAACCGCCCCTGATAGAATTGAACCCTCGCTGCGGTATCAGACGACCGCAGCCGTCGTCGCAGCGTTTCACTTGTTTGGCTAGGGTCCCAGAGGAACCAGAAGAGTTTTCCGGACCGAGTAACTACAGGGTCAAATCGAAGAAGCAAGGAGACCATTTCTGGGAATCTTTGAGCGACTTCCCGGAAAATTTACAATTCAGCCCAGTGACTGGAGGAATGAAGCAAGGTTTTAGGTGCACGAAGTCAGATGTCTTGAAAAGACCTTTGGTGTCATCCCCTGTTTTGCGCGGCGTCAGCTCTAGGCTGCGTTGCAATTACAAGTCCACCGCTCACGTGTACAGGGAAAAGTCACGCGAGGCTCAGCTCTGCGGCTCCAGGCGGACGCCGTCGTCGTCCGAGCTGCTCAGAACGTTTGGGGACACCCCAACCACCAGCGATCGCTACAATCCCCCGTTTTATCGCGTCTCGGCGAAATACGTCTCACCTGTGGGTGCCAAGAAATCCAAAGGACGGAAGGCGAAAAACAAGCCTGCTGAACTGGAAGAGAAGAGGTCCAGTTTGGAAAGCTTTGCCAGCAGATCTGCTACGGAATTCGATGATCGGAACTTAGGACCTATAACTATAGATTGTCAGACAGCGCTGGGTGGAACGGAAGCTGAAAACGCAGCCTGCTACAACGCTGCCTTCACCGGGAATAAAGAAAAACGCAGCAGACGACCGACTGGTGTGTATGACGAAAGGGGATTCCCTGACGCTTCAAGCCGTAAACAGTCCACCCGGAGTCAATTCGAATACAACCAAACGCAGGACGAAGACAGGCGAACGGCCGGGCAGGACGCTCCTGGTAACACGTACGCGCAAGCGGCTTACCAAGACGCGCAACATAGTAAAATGAATGGAGATACGAGTCCTAATCTTGGGGTTGATGATGCTGGGAACAAGGTGAAGTTTAGTGTGCCACATGTCGAAGATGGCTTTGCCCAGACCTACGGGGCCTTTGGTGTGCAGCCGCAAAGCCGAGGATTCAAGTCCGCCTCTGACAGTGGGTCGAAAACAAGGCTGAACGAAAAACTATCGAAACAGATGGTGAGTAAATTGATCTAGACAGCAGCACAGTCATTCTGTTATTACTGATTCCTTTTCTTTTATATATTAATGGCACTCGATCAATTTAATGATCATTCCTGCTCCTTTGCGTGTAGAGGGGGTTTGCAATGATTCTCTGCCTGGCGTTGAAGAGGATATTTCACTGGTTACAAATACTACTCAGTTAGGGTATGTTACGCACTGACTTGTATTGGGAGAAATTAATCTCCTATTTTAATTTTAATTTGGCTCGTTGTAAACAGTGCCGTACAAAGGACGATACCATAGAGTCAACAATATTAAAGACACGACAACCAAAACAGTTTTTAGTTACAATTAATAAGATTTATTAAGTCTTAAGATAATGACAAAAGAAAAGGACATATAATGACAATCTTCTACTTACATTATGGTAGATCTTGTACCGCTACAAAGTTAACACAGTTCGCATAATGTGCCAATGAATAATGATTAAATTGGAAATAAACATATATGAGTATAAGCACACAAATACACAAAGAATAATACACGTCACGTAAAGTTAATAATTTCTATCTGAATCTCCTTCATTCCGAGCCGGTCAATCCTTTATATAGGTAAGTCTACCGACGCGTAAGCCCTGCCTTCCAGAAGCTACGCAGTATTTCTAGAACAATCACACGCATTCTACAAAATACTATTTAGAACAGATTGATTATTTTTAGTGGCTATCGGCATCAACACGACAGATCAAAAGACTAAGCCACACCCATCTTTGAACACAGCGTCTCCTGCGTGGTCAATCAGAGTGCACGCACGAGAAAAATTATGTAAACAAGCTCTATATAACAGGGTATAATGAACTGGGGTTGGAAAGCCTGAGGCAATGGACGTAAATGTTTCAATTGTTGTCGCCTCAACGGTTCCTTTTGGAAGCTTGTTCCAGTCCCTGGTTGTCTTTGGCAGGAATGGGCAGTTCCTGTAGCGGCTTCTTGCTGGTATGAGCCGTAACTCCCTGTCATGGTTCTCATCATGTTATTAAGTTAAACGCTCTTTTTGGATGAAGAGAAAGAAAAAGTTAGCCAGTAAATTATACTTTGTATTCCTCTCATTTAAAACAAGCCCATCTTGTACAATGTAAGATGGCTAATGTTCGTGGCTGCTAAGTTTCAGTTGGTGAAAAATGTCCACATGATGTTCAGAAACTTGGTTAATGTTGCTTCACACATTATTCACATTGCAGTACTAATTGGATGTTGTTTGACACGACTGATGAGATATCCTTAGTTATAAAGGATTTGTGATTTTAAAAAAAAAAATGTGTTGCAGAGATTTTTTAGAATGGAAGAAACACATTTTGGGCCATAGAAAATGCCTGGATCCTGAGATACACGTTGGCAAAATTTGGTTTTTTCCTTACATATACTATAAATTTTGCCTGCAGATATGTTGTTCATGAATGTTAAATGCAAAATGGTGCACAAAATAAAACGTATTTTCTGTGCGCTGTGCACAAGATATCTTAGCTCATTACACGAGAGCATTGTGTTAATTGAACATTTACTTCATGTCTGATCGTTGCGAAATGTATCACTTTTGGACAACCATAACTAGACTAAATCAGGCAAAATTTGTGCAAAATAGCCACATGTTGTGGCCAATGATAAATAACATTAGCCACATTATACATAAATATAAAAAAAAATACTATTGAACAGAATCAAATGGATAAATAAGCTGTTTAATCTTATTTTAAGAAAGGAAGGCTGGTTCTTCAACCCAAAAAAAAAAAAAGTGTGATAATGGTTTAAGATATTTATGAAATCTCTCCGAGATTTTGCGCACCAAGCGTGCACTAACTCCTGAACGGAACTTTTGCCTTGGGGAAAAGTTTAAAATTGTTTTGTGGTAGTAGCTCTAGACAGGATCTTTTATTTTCAAAGTCACCAAAAAAAAAAAAAATTGTAATAAAGCTGGACAAAAATATCATCTTGGTCTTAAAACGTTCGACGCATTTCAGAACAAGACTCTGCTCAATGTCGTTAACATCAGCTCAATGAAAAGTGTGTTATCCTAGATGGCCGACACCTGCCATTTTTTTTTTCATCGCCACGCGCTGGTAGCTTAGGCTAGGATGTTCAGTATCCCGTGTTTAATTTCGACCTATTTCATCGTGAACTTATAGAGAATGCCAGACCGATGCGCAATAAAAAAAAAAATACACCACTTTAGCAAACCCCAAGTCCACGCTAACCATCAGCAGTAGTATCCGAGAGGCTATGCGCAAATATCACATTCACATTTACCTTGGTCACCCTGAACCATCACGCAACTTCTGCTAGCGACCTTCCGCTAGAACTACTACCACAAAACATTTCAAAGGCGACCCAACCCCATCCGTCCAGTGCTGTTCGCATTGTGAGGTGCAAGAGTCTCCTCCACGCTGTGAACCACCCCTGATAGAAACAAATCATGATCTGCTGTTCGGCCCGTAAACGTAGACCTAATCCGGTCAGTGTGTACATCTAAATAAAAACGGAGTAAACATTAAAAACATCTTAGCTGATAGTTTGCCATGAGAATTATTGAAGTCACGGTTTCAGTTTGCTGCCAAGCAATGTTCTCTGTTGATGTTCTGTCCAATTCATTACGATCTTGTATAAAGAAAAACCTGATATATATTTAAAAAAACTAAAAACAAATATGAATTCCACATTTAAATATTAACACAAAAAGATACAAAGAGTTGTGTGCAATGTTCCCTTTCAGCTGCGCAGCTGCGCGGCTTGCGAAGTTATCGCACAAGCGCCGCGCAGCAGTTTTGAGTATCCGCGCAGCAAATTTCCGCATGTAAGTGTGTGTTTGTGTTTATGGGCTGCAAAATTTTGCACACACAAAATTTGATGCTGTAAAACTTTAAACTTTACACACAACTGTGTGATTTTGCACAGGAACCAACAAACCTTAGAGGGACCATTGGTTGTGTGTTCTGATAGATAAATAAATAAATGACAACACCATTTATTAATAACAGAACGGAAAATATAGTTTTATCTGCTACAGACAGAAAACTCATGATTTTTGTTTTTATCTGATGTATATTAATATAGGATGTACGCAGTGATGTGCTTTATTGGATGATGTACGTCACGGTTTAATGTTGTAAGAATGATGCCCGTCTCCTGTCCTGAAGTTTACTTACTGACGTCACTTCTCCTGTTAATCTGTTTAATTCAGACAAGTTTCTTTTACCCTTCTCCCCGCAACCACCCCCCGTTTATTGGAACCATTGCAGTCCAAAGATGACCTCCGCCAGGCGCCACTGCAGGAGCCATACGTCTCTGACTTAGGCAGACCACCGTCACCACGGAGATACACCCAACATGCAAGTTGTCTCTCTTTTTGTATCGTCTCGTCTAATGACCACCCTAAGTTGATGTCAGATTAAGGCCATTTTGGGATAGGAATTGTATAAGAAATAGAAGAAACGAAATCCTTAAAAAAAAGGTCTCTTGTATTTATTAAGGCATGGCATATTTGAGGGAGAAGATGAATCAATATGGATTTCCGATCAAATGCAGTAGCTTGAAAGGTTTATTTGGAATGAGTAACCGTTATTACTTTCCTCATTTAAATTACTAAATAATAAACTTACGTATGGTGTCTTTAATAAGACTCATTGAACCACTCGTTCACCTCAAACTAGAAAAAAAAAATTCAATTCAATTCGTACAACAAGTCTAAGGAATTTTTTAAATAGACATTATATGCAAAGAAACTTTTAAAACTTAGTACCAAAAATTGAATTGATGTGAAAATTAAAAAAGGAAATTGTTTTAAAAGCACTAGAGACAGGATCTTCCCGATGCATTTGGAAAGTAAATTATATTGCCAAACAAATATTTCAATATTCATTAAAAAATTCGAAGCTTAAGAGGCGGGAGGCCCGCTAGAGGCATTAGGTCCCCTAGAGGCGTGAGGCCCCTTGAGGCGTTAGGTTCCCTAGAACCTTGGGTCTCTCTAGAGCCGTGAGGCTCCTTAGAGCTGCGAGGCCCCTCTAGAGCCGAGAGGCCTCCTACAGGCATGAGGACCCCCTAGAGGCGTGACCACGCCTTAAGACGGAAATGATCTGGGGTACTGGGCGTGTCCGACAAGGCGTCATGAGTTTAAAATTAACATAATTTCTATGAATGAAGACTGTGCCGAGCTATCTGTATCTGCATAATCTCACATGAATCTGACAGTCAATACCAACAATTCAGTTTTTATTTTCGAAAAAGAATGAACTATTCGTAATCAACAATTTAGAATAATATGTTTTTAAAATGAATTTCTTTAACAATTGATCCAGAAATGTGACCAGAAAACAATTAACAAGCTTTTCGGTTTTAGCGATCACAATTATTTAAACAAAAAAACAAGAGAAAAATAAATTAATTTAAAAAAAAAAAACCAGCTAAAATATTAGTCGATACTGTCGTAAAGCCAAACTCACACAAAACTTCAATTAATATCGTCGTCAAGCCACACTCATATAAATATTATAGAGCATTCTGCATGTTCAAATCAGAATGTCATTTGAACCAAGTATTGAGAGCTGGGAGAGCAAACGTGACGAGTGTAGAAACAAGACGTTGATGTCCAAATACATAATCATGAACTGTCCGTGACGTTGAATAGAGAACTGTGTTTTATTTTCAAAGTGCCCCGTATTATTTCTCTTGACGAAAATTGATCCTTGCTTCAATCGGCTCATTTTTATAAAGGGTTCTTTCTCTTTGATGTTAAAGTATAGAACAAACATTTAACCTGCTCTTTTACATTTCTACGATTTTGAGTCTTTTATTTTATCTTGTGAAGTCCACATATCATGAAAATAACTGTTTAAATCTTTTTTGACACATTTTCATTTTCTGTCTTTTGAGAGTCTTATTTTCTGTCCCGATTTTCTATAATTGAGTACACCCCGAACTGAAAGTAGGCTGACGATCTACTCTGAAACCCTTTTTCTGTCCGTGTCCGACTTTTCCAGGTGAGAGCGGACGAGTTTAACTCTCCTGTGAGCCCAAGGCAGAACTACTACATCCCGACCGATCAAGTCAGGCCGCCCTCAAGAGACCGTCAATATGCCAACTATGTAAGTGTGGCGGCGTTGAGAACAGTGCTGAAATATTTTTTATTAATGTTTCTTATATCTGTGCAAGACCGATGAGCAAAGAATCCTCTTTGGATGAGAGATATCTTAGAGATCTCTCACAATGCATCACGATACCTATGTCGGTATGTGAGAAATTCTTACATCGATTTAATAAACTTACATTATGCTTATTGAGATCTTGATGACGTCATTTTTAAAAAAAATACCTCTAAATTAAAGTTTTAATGAATTTTCAATTATTATAAAGATAAAGATTATTTATTATCATACTTAATTTTTTTTTTTTTACAAAAAGTATTACAGGCGAACCCGGTTATGTCGACGGCTCCGGGGTTTTCCAAAAAACGTCGAGATAACCGATGACCGAGATAAATGAAAACCAATATGGAGGCAATATATAAACATGTGCTTGAAATTTCTGTATGTACACCATGAGTGTTTATAAATGAGAATAACCAACCGCGTCACCACGATATTTTTTTATGAAGCGATCGGCATGCTATATAATATACATAGCTGTTCGTTAGCAACACAAGGCATATATGGGGTGCCACTTTTTTTGGATAATCCCGGAATTCCTGATTCGTGAGGCCTAATATTTTTCAGCTCCAAATTCGCAAGTTTTTATTTTGCCTCGCTCAGAATTCGCTAGTTCAGTTTATTCAAGTACGGATTCTGGGTTAAAAAAAAAAATTAAAAAAATCAACGTGTTAGACTACGTGAAAGCCTCTTAAGTGGCAAGCGGGCTCGCTATCAATAAAACAGGTCCTGCGACCTCTGACTTTTCTTTGCTAGCCGCTCACTCCCCGCTTCTTGCTGTGTCAAGTTAATTGCGCGGACAACGATTGTGTCATTACATGTCAACTACAGTTTCAAGTAGGCGCGTATCTTTTTTAAATTATACTATCCTGACTGATTCCCCTCCTCTGACCGATAAACGATCTTGCCGGCTGCCGTCCATGGTTTGCCTTGTAAAAGTTATGTGGTGGGGTGGGTGAATATACATTGCTGTTCTTTATTTCATAAATGTATTATTTATGTAAATTTTTTATGTACAGCGCTATACAAGACCTCTTATTATGCATTATCGGCATCCTTCTGTCTCGTGAGACGATGGTGCATCACCGTTGGGTTGGGTTGCATTTTCCCGAGTGGCTGTGCAGTCCTATCCTTGAGTGACAGTCTTTACCACAGTTTTTACACACGAGTTCTGTGCTTCCAAATGTTTTGGCCTTTCTCCTAGCTCTTCTGTCTGCAGCCTCTTCCATTCTTCGCTCCTCGGCTACCATGACGCCCTCTTTGACAACTGTGCGCCACGTAGATCGGTCTTTTGCCTTACACTCCCAGTCACTTGTATGTATTTTGGCTGCTTTCATGTCCCTTTGACAGACATCTTTAAATCGCAGACGTGGGCGACCTGTTTTCCTCTTTCCCGAAGCAAGTTCACCATATAGGAGGTCTTTCGGAATGCGGCCGGGACTCATTCTTTTAACATGACCTAGCCATCTCAGGCGTCTTTCACTAAGGATTGTGAACATGCTTTGGGTATTCGCACGCATTAGGACCTCACTATTAGTCACTTTTTCTTGCCATTTAATACCAAGGATGCGACGCAGGCATCTCATATGGAAGCTATTAAGCTTGCGCTCTTGGGATGCATAGGTGGTCCATGTCTCGCTCCCGTATAGTAGTGTACTGATGACACAAGCTCGATAGACGCACAGTTTGGTTTTCTCCGTTAGCTTGGTGTTTTGCCAGACCCGTTTATTAAGACCTCTTCTTATTATTATTATTATTATACAGTTTTCAAAAGCCGGCGATTAATCATTGGGATCGAGATAACCGGGGTTAGGTTGCAAATTTTGGCCGCCTTTTGTGCTAGAGATATCAGGGTTCGGGGACATAAAAGAATCGACATAACCGAGGAGAAAATACTAAGACAAAGAGTGAATTTGGTGGTCCCACTTAAAAACGTCTACATTACAGGTTTGGTGAGTTAACTGTGTTCGTGATAAATGGGTTCGACGGTATTTGAATTTCAAATTTGCTTGGATGTTTACATTTTTTTATTTTGATACTCTTTATTGAATGTTTTAAAATTTACTTTGTTTTAGGTTACTCCCCCCAACGATTATTATAACACCCCTTTGAACTCAAGGCAAAGTCCAAATGATCTATGGAGGACCCCTTCACGAGATCGGTCCTATGGAACCTATGTAAATATGAAATGGATACAAAAAATTGTAAAACAAAAAAGTGGTTTATACTTTAGAAAATATATGGACGCAATGTATAATGTCATGTCAGATTTTCTCAAAAGGTTGTTGGCGTAATTTCTCATAACAGGTTCTACGAATTTCTTCCGAATTCTGGCAGGTACTTCGTTGGTAAAAATGTCTGGAAAAGGGGGGAGGTGGGGGGGGGGAGGGGTTATGTCACAATTGGTTAATTCATTGCTAACTCGACGCACTGTTCACTTTTCTTTACTTCTTTATTCATGAACAAATATTCACTACCACAGCTTAACAGGGTGCATTTTTACACCGGTCTGGGGATGTTTGTAAAAAGATTTAACTTCTCATTTTCTATAATTATGTCAGCCTTTAAACATTAGTCTTATAGACAGTCCTACACCCTACCTATCGGCCTTTTAAACACTAGTCCTACAAACAGTCCTACAACCTCCCTTCCGACCTTGCATATATACAATAGGGCTACTAATGGTCCTACTGACAGACCTACAGACAGTCCTAGTCCTACACAATATATCTGGCTCTTTATTGATTGATATAATAGTCACCAATTCAAACGTTTTACCTGAGTTCCTAACGAGTCGGCATCTCCAGCGTGCCGCTCCGCGGCCCGAAACGTCGGACCGGGAAGGGGTAATTTGAGGGGGGGGGCATAAGAGTCTAGACTCGCCCTGCTGACGCCATTTCTTAATGTAACATGAGTTCAACCGTCACGCATGACGCTCACTGCTTGATAGCTTTTTTAAAATTTTTATTTCTCTCAATGTTATTAATTTAAAAAAAAACATGTTGAGTAAGGGGATTGCCCGTTGTGAAAAGGAAGCAGCCACACCACAAGCAAAATGTGCATAAGTGATACATTTTAAACATACTGCCGGTTTTTGAAATCTCAGCAAGAAAAGTGTCAAAATGGTACCATTGTAGTCCGTCATGACGATGAGAAAGACGTTTTGAGGACTTTCCCAATATTTAGAATCTGATTATGTTGCTAGATTTGCCTTAGAAAGAACAAAATTGTTTTTTAAAATATATACAAACTTCTGCGTTACTTTTGCATAAAGTTTTCAATGGGAGTTGGGGGGGGGGAATTGACTTGCTCCAGGTGATCGGACGCCCCCCCCCCCCTTTTACGCTATTTTTTTACAGCTTAATAATTTTTTTCTTCTACTGTTTTGTTCTCCAGCCACCATCGTATGATGTCGGTGTGGGACGGTCACCGTCCAGAGACCGCCAATACGGCGTCTATGTAAATATTAGGACACCTTTCTTTAAATAAAAAAGGCGACTACTATCAATATAATATAATGCACAATGTCCTTATTGATCTAAGATAAGTTCAAATGAAGTCACACTTAAACATGCACACTTAAAACACACACACACACACACGCACACACATACTTAAATACAAATTGTTGTTGTTTAGATAAAGTTTAAAAAACAAAACACACACATACACACACACATTTAGATGCAAGTGGTAGTTTGGATAATTCAAACACACAAATACTTGAATACAAGTCAAGTGGTATTCCAGATAGAGTCTCACACACATACACACGCGCTAACACACACATACTTGAATATAACTGGTAATCCAGATAGAGTCTCACACACATACACACGCGCTAACACACACATACTTGAATATAACTGGTAGTCCAGATAGAGTCTCACACACATACACACGCGCTAACACACACACAGACACACGGTAGAACATGAAAAAGTCACTCATACACATGCAAACAAATACACACCTAGAAACGCAAATACACACATAGACACGGTGGCTCAGATAAAGTCAGCCACACACTGTTTTCACCGTACACATCCACAATGACAATCACACACATAGTTGCTATAAGTGATAGTTTAGATCAAGTGACGCATAAACACACACATACACACGGTCACGCACATATTTGTTATAAGATGGACATCAGGTGGAAATGGGTCAGTTTTGATTAAATTGTAGTTTTTCCCCCCACACAAAAAAAAAAGAAAAAAAAAAGCTTTTTCTATTGACAACGGGATTAAAGCTTTTCATCCAGATTTACACTGAACATCAGAGGTGCCGATGGTCATTTCATAATCAACTATTTTGTTAACAGTCTCAGACAAGCTTTGACCGATTCGGATCACCAGGAAGTTCAAGGCAAAACCTCTACAGTCAAACTGACTTAGGAAGATCTACATCGAAGGAGCGCCAGTATGGCTACTTTGTAAGTGTGTAGAGTGTAATGATATGTGTATAGTGTAAGGATGTGTGTATAGTGTAAGGATTTGTGTATAGTGTAAGGATATGTGTATAATGTAAGGATATGGGTATAGGGTAAGAATATGGGTACAGTGTAAGGGGATGTGTATTCTGTGTGGATATGTATATAGTGTAAGGATATGGGATGTTCTTGTCAAGGACAGTTGTCCTCGTTTATTGAGACGCTTGAGAATGAGTGGAGGACCCACTCAGGCAGTGGAGATAGTCTCGTCGTTGATGGCTTCGCTGGTAGATGCAGCGAGGTTTTTAGATGCAGGGAGTTTTGTAGATGCGGCGCTGGTGCTAGATGTGGTGGGTGGTAGATGCGGTGGGTGGTAGATGCGGTGGGTGGTAGATGCGGCACTGGTGGTGGATGCAAGACTCAGCTTTAGTAGTAGCTATCCTGAACATTGTTAAAAACCAAGACCCGCTCCCCCCCCCCCTCCCTCCAGTCTTATTTTTAAATTAACACTACTTTAGATTGTGCTAGCTGTGGTGGGTGGTAGATGCTGTGGGTGGTAGATGCGGTGGGTGGTAGATGCGGCACTGGTGGTTGATGCAAGACTCAGCTTTAGTAGTAGCTATCCTGAACATTGTTAAAAACCAAGACCCGCTCCCCCCCCCCCTCCCTCCAGTCTTATTTTTAAATTAACACTACTTTAGATATAATTCCTCAAATAACTTTGTATAACTTTATTGAGTATTAAATGAATACTGTATCTGACCAGCTTATAAGACTGTATTCAATGTTAGATGCACAATGTGCCTGACTTAATTTAACAACTGGCTCATAATACTACGGAGTCCAAACATTATTTAAAATATTTCTTTTTTATTTTTGGGGAGGGTATAGGACATGGTCGTGAAAAGAGGTCCCTCAACCCATTTTCGAACACCTGGCCAGAGGCAAAAATTATCATCTTTAGATAGCGCCTTGATGGTGAATAAATCGATCATATGCCATGTAGTTTTAAAAAAAAACACAATGGGCGCCAAAATAATCTTTTTAACGGTCCGCCTTGGGTGGCACTTTATTTCTATACATTGATGGGCCCTATTTTGATGTCACTGTTCCACGACTCGGCCATGGTTGGGGGCCTTAGTACTGTTATTTTCTTTTTGTGCTGTTATGACGGGCGTCTCGCCTTCAAAAAAAAAACCAACAACAAAACAGCAACAACAAAACTACTCGTAGTAAATATTTTCTACGAAAGAGCCCAGTCACCTGGGATTATGTAATCAACAGAAAAGTCCAGCTGCTCAAATGGCCTTTGAACATTGATATATTTGCGTGTCTCTTTCACATCGCACAGCTGAAAGGAGCCAGCCCAGTGGGCTCCCCGATGGGCTCCAGACAGAACCTGCCCATGACATCGTCCTCACGAGAACGCCAATATACAAACTATGTAAATATAACAATAATCTATCGCCTTGTTAGACTCGTCTTTAATTGATACAAGAGTTGATCCATTCCTCTGAAATCCATGATTGATTTTTTTTTAAAAAGTAAATACTTCTAAAATATATTTTCAAACATTGACATAATAAGATTGGATTATTTGTTCTCATTTTAATTTATAAAAGAATATGAAGTTACACAGATGCAAAGTCATCACAGGAGATGAGTGCAATCGCACCTCCATGCTGCATATCCGGCAGCATCAAAGTGTTATTTATCAATATGATTCACCAATAAAATATATTGATATTATTTATCAACATAAATAATGAATATTGATTTATCAGTATAATTATCAATATGATTTATCAATATAATGTAGCAATAAGATTTATCAATATAATTGATCAAAATAATTTATCAATATGATTTATCCAAACATTAATTTAAACTGATGTTTGTTTTTGGGGAGGCTGAGTTCCAGGTCGTGTAAAGGGGCCACTCGCCCCCACTTTCCATCATCTGATCGTCTTTAGCAAACACCTCAATAGCGAATGCATCGATAAAAATCCCACATACTTAAAATAAACACAAGGGGCGCCACAATAATCTTTTAACTGGTTCGCCCTGGGTGGCACTTTCTCCGTATATTATTATGCGCTATTTTTATTCCGCTTTTCCGCGACACGACCATGGTTTGGGCTCAGGGACTGGGATTTCGTGGCTGTGATAGCCAAACAGCAAATCATGCTAGGCCTTTTCTTATAACTAACTGGTAATTAAAATATTTTCTATTAAAAAAATTCGCTGTCTGTGAAAATGTAATTAAGATAACACCCCCGCTCATAACATGGCATTCAAACGATGTTATATCTGTGTGTCCCTTTCACATCTCACAGATGAAAGGAGCGAGTCCAGTGGGCTCTCCGATGGGATCCAGACAAAACTTGCCCATGGCATCATCATCAAGAGAACGCCAATTATATAACTATGTAAATATAACATTTTGTATATATATATAAATGGCGTAGCTAGGGGGGGGCGTGAGGACCGCACCGGGTGACACCATCTCTGGGGGTTTACACCCAAATGAAAAATTGCATATTTACACACTGGGCTTTGACCGAATTTCATAAAAGTAAAAAGATAAACAATCACAAGTAAATGCACACACGTAAACACTCGAAGTGATACGATGAAGGATGGTGATTTTGATCAAGTGATTCACTGGTTTTGCAGCTTTGAAGACCAGGTTTTGCAGCTTTGAAGACCAGGTTTTGCAGCTTTGAAGACCAGGATTGGAAAATTTTAAATAAAGTAAATTTAATGTAAAATCAACTGTTACAGTTCTTATAATACGTTCACCTTCTGACCTTAAATTTATTGATAGTCTAGATATCGTTCTTCTGTGGACTTATTTTAACAAGAAGAAATATATCGTTGGGGGACTTGGGTGACACCAGGAGTTTAACGCACTGGGTGACACTAACCCTAGCTACGCAACTGTATTTATATATATATATATATATATATATATATATATATATATATATATTTTTTTCAACTCTTTCACTCACCCTCTCTCTCTTCTCTCTCTCTCT